ATTATTCCATTATTTTATTCTTTAATCTAGTCTTTACTTTTTCTGCAAATAAGTATGGTAGGCCTGCTATAAACTTCTCTTTCCAATGGTTTGCACTACTGTCTTCCCTTGACAGAAGGCGAGAAAAGAAGACACCCTTATACCATTTATAGTGAGATAAAGTCAGACATCTTAGATTGGATAATAGGTCTTCTGACCTAGCATCTAACAAAGAGGTACTGCTCACAAAATGTAGGGTTATAGTATAAATAAGTGTATTTACGACATCACTTTCACTTTGGGATACTTCTTGATTATATTCATTTTTTATAGTCCACTGTCTTGTAGCATTTAATATCTGCTGTTTAGCGGTTTCACTCATGTGGAAATCCCACCATCCTCTTAACCATCCTGTGAAACCATAAACAATGGCCTTAGCCACCTCTTGATCATGGTTTCCTGCTACTTTACAAGCAGTGGCATACATGGTCATATGTTTTATTGTATCCAAAATTTGATGGTCCGACATACCATCGATATTCCAATTGACTATAGTTCTCCCGGAATAGGATATATATGTTTTTATATATATGGAAGCATCTACAAAACGCCTATAGGTGAAGTTTTACGAGGCTTCATCTACACCTCATTACCGTCTAAAGTTCATCATACGGTTACAGTTGTCTGGTAGTATTTGAATTTTTATAATTATTGTACTAATCAGATTTATATAAAATTTGGGGATTGTGTACATGTGAACAAGTCGCACCAAAATAAAATATAAAAAAAATAATATACATAAAATAAAATGACAAAATTACCCCTAAAACTTTATAGGGTTATTTTGCGTAATTTTTATCATTCAAATTATTTGTTTTATATTTTATTCATGTGCATCTCACTAAGGCGCACACACCTACAAATTTTCAGATTATTATGATTTGTAAAAAGAAATATTAAAACTCAAACACTATAAGATATCTGTGACCGTGTGATAAGCTTTGAATGGTGATAAAGCCGTAGGTGAAGTACTGTAGAACTTCACCTAACTTCACCTATAGGCACCTATAAGTGAAGTTCTACAGTACTTCACCTACGGCTTTATCACCGTCAAAGCTTATCACACGGTTACAGATATCTGATAGTGTTTGAGTTTAAATGTTTTTTTTTACAAATCATAATAATCTGAAAATAAATTTGTAGGTGTGTGCGCCTTAGCGAGATGCACATGAATAAAATGTAAACAAATAATTCCTATGAAAACACTACAAAATGCCTATATGTGAAGTTCTACAGTACTTCACCTGGGGCTTTATCACCGTTCAAAGCTTATCACACGGTCACAGATGTCTGATAGTGTTTGAATTTTAAATTTTTTTTTTACAAATCATAAAAATCTAAAATTTTGTAGGTGTGTGCGCCTTAGTGAGATGCACATGAATAAAATATAAAACAAATAATTTGAATGATAAAAATTATGCAAAATACCCCTATAAAGTTTCAGTCGTAATTTTGTCATTTTATTTTATGTATATTAATTTTTTAATATTATATTTTGGTGTGACTTGTTCATTTGTTCATATGTACACACGCCCTAAAATTTAGATAAGAACTTTGGACGGTAATGAGGTGTCGGTGAATTACTGTAGAACTTCACCTATAGGCGTTTTGTAGATGCTTCCATATATACATACATACATATGTATAAGCAAGCACCCACAAATTGGTTGCATTTCACCAGTTTTTCCTTGGTTCTTTGTCCTTTACTCATTTTTGTTGTCCTCTTTATGGTTTGGACTTCTGTTTTGCTGGGAACTGATCACAAAATGATAATACAGAATGATAACTTTATCATCTATAGGAGTGGATTTGATCAAGAAAATTTTATGCTTCAAATCTAGATGGTTATGAAAAGTTTGATTCATAGTTGTTGGAAGCGGATGTGGGAGGGATTTGGGAATCGAAGGCCAGGAATCACAATTAGAGACAATCCCGGTAGGAAGTGCTTCCATACGGATTGAGATCCAACTCTTTGGGGATTAAGATCCCAGTATTTTGGGAATTGTGCTCCCAACTCCCAACCATTTTGGACGTAGCAAGAAACTATAAAGGGGTGATTTCTATATGGAAAAACGTTCAGGATTCTAGGGTAACCTTAACCAAGAATCTCTTAGTATTTGAATTGATGTATTGAGTGTCCTTAGCCAGGTCCCCCCCTAGTGTTGGAATTGAGGCCGTCAACTGCCCTAAACAAGGGATCCCCAGGTATTGGAATCAATGTTTGAGTGCCCTTGATGAGCGCTTCTCACTAGTATTGGAGTCAAGGTCTTTGAGTGCCCTTAAATAGGGTTTCCTAAGTATAAGAATCGAAGTTAACTAGAGTTTATAGACATGCCATCCTTCTTTGTTGAATAAAGACAGTGCAACCATTTGATTAATTAATAATACATTCTTAGAACAAGACATTTATTTTGTGTTCCCTTAGGAATTTAGGATTGAGGTGAAGTAGAGTTTCTAGATGCCCATCCTTCTTTGTTCAATAAAAGAAGGTGCTGTTTTTATCGTACTTAATAATATCATCATCACCATCATTTTGAGCTTTATCCCAACTATTTGGGATCTATTGTATGGATCCTTTTCCGTCATTCTGCTTTATCAATGGTCATACCCTTAGTCAGATCATAAGTCAAAATATCTCTTTTGTCCTTTGGGGCTTTCCTTTTGCCCTTTAGAGCCTTCCACTTGAACTGAATTGCCCTTCCTAGTTGGTGATGTTCTAGGTCATCGCTGCACATGGCCGGACCACCTAAGTCTACCCTCATATTATTGCCTATTGTATCTTAGTTCCATCGGATGTATTCATTCCAAATCAATGTTTTAAAATGCGGCCGCATCGCCGCATATGCGGCCACATCACGCGGGATGCGCTCGCATCCACATCAGAAACAGCCGCATATGCGCTTTTGACAGATGCGGCCACATATGTGCCAAATCAGGCCGTATCGTAGCCGCATCCCCCATAGGCTGCATCCCACTGCTACAGTATCTGCCGAATTTTTTTTCTGTTTTGCCCCTCGGGGGGGAAAAATGGTCTTTTTGACCATCCAAATGTTAGGGAAACTGTTTGGGGGGGTATTAGGGGCCCTAAACGAAGATTTTTAGCCACTTTTGTGGCTTTTTTTTTGCATCAAATCGAGGTAAAAAAAAATTTCGCCTGAATTTTTTTTTCATCAAAATCTTCGATTTGGTGGTTGTTTGATACTTGGATGTTCATTGGATGCCTTTGATTGTTGATTTGGAGATGTTAGGGTGAATTTGTGATAAGAAATCGGGGGTTTCAGAGGTCGCAAAAAAATCGAGTAGTACTTCACAGAGTCGATAAATTTTTTTTCCTTCTTGTACAATATTACTATTATACATATTTTTGGGGGCAATGTCTTCCCAATTTTCTAGTAATAAGGATCCGGCTTGAAAATATGCTAAACTAAAATATCCTAAAGATAGAAATTGTGTGATATGCTTGCTCTGTGGAAATACTTATATGGGTGGATAACTGGATACAGAATCTTCGACAGCTAATAGTATTGAAGTTAATCAGTAAACTAAAATACCTACTATCACATATATCACCTTCATATTTTTTTCTATGCATTAACTTATTTTTTAAATTTTTTAGAATTTTTTTGCATTTATTGACTGCATCATCGCGATGCACCCGCATCCGGGCCGCATCAAGCCGCATCGGCCCCCCACCGCATCGAGGCTGCATCCTGCATTTAGAACACTGATCCAAATACAGTCTTTTCTTGTCTTTCCACTCATCCATCTCAACATCCTCATCTCATTAATACACATTCTATAATTATGTTATTTCTAGACCGACAACACTCAATCCCATAATGCATGGCTGGTCTTATTGATGTCCTTAATAAACCATAAAATAGAATGTAAACAATACTATGTTTCAAATAAAATTTGAAAAAAAATTCAAGAATTCCATATCATTATCGCTATCATTCTATGACCCTTTGTATTAATTTATGCAACAATTATCATGATCATCATAGCCTTTTCCCAAGTATTTGGGGTCAGCTAAATAAAACCATAAAATAGGCCTCTTTGTTGTATGATTCTATAAACCCTTTTATGCAATTCTTTAACTATAGATATTTGCATTTAAATATTGTTTCTGTCATGCCAAGACTTTGAAGTTTGAACACATGATGATCAAATCACGGTTCAGTGCACCAATGAACTTTGGGATTTGATGCTGTGGATCTGGATCCCAAATAACTTAAGATCATGATTTTTTAATTTTGGGAATTGAGAATCCTAAATTAGAAAAGGGGATCCTTCCCTTGTCTGTAGTGCTGAAGCAACATTCCAAAGGGCAATTGCCCCCTGGCATGGAAGATTCTAGTAACTATGGTTTTAACCGTAGTGCACGTTTGGACATGCCTTAATTTCAATGCCTGAACTGATCATTTCGTGAATGGAAATACATTTTGTTTGTTTGGGTGGTGCTTGTACTTTATTTTGGTTTATTTATCCTGAGCTTTGGTTGACCTGAAAGTGGCTGGTTTCCAACCCTATTTTAATGAAATAAATTTTCTGGTTGGGTGGGGCTTGTATTCTATCTCTGTAGATTTATCCTGAACTTTGATTGAGGTTCAATTGGCTGGTTCACTGTGATGGGAGGTCTTGGTTTTGAAGCATCCTGATCTTTGATTGACATCAAAATGGTTGATTTTCCTTGATCTAAGGTTTCACTCTCGGGTTAGTTTGTTAGGGGCTATGATTCTACTCTGTAGAGTCCTACACTTTTCTTGTATCCACTTGTTTTATCATGACTTAGGAAATGGATATTTGAAAGCTAGTTACTCACTTGTTGGGTTGATTTCAACTGGAGGTCTTATCATAGCATTCTCAGATTACCATGGTTTATCATGAAAGCCCCCCCAAAAAAAAAGAAGCTAAAAAAAAAAAATGGTGCTTTACTAAAATCTCATATATCTGTACAGGCGAGCCTTCTATGACAAGAGGATCTCTCAGGAGGTCAGTGGAGATGCTTTGGGAGAGGTATATTTCCTTATTACCTTGTTTTGTTTAGCCTCATTTGTAATAACTTTTAATAGTTAAGCTTCTTATTATTGTTAGAATCCTACCACTCATGTATATTTGTTTCTGTCAGGAATTCAATGGCTATGTATTCAAGATAATGGGAGGCTGTGATAAACAGGGGTTCCCAATGAAGCAGGGAGTTCTAACTCCTGGCCGTGTCCGCCTGCTACTTCACAGAGGTTGCATTTTTTAATCCTTTGATTTTTTTTGTGTTGTTTTCAAATTATTTCAAGTATACCATTGTACAATGGAGTAAAAGATATGGTATTCCAAAGGGACATCTGCCATCCATTTCTGATGAGGTGTAATGGAGATTAGCTGTATTGGGGACTACCATGACATTCACCCAAGTAACTCTTAATCTTACCCATATGTTATTGGAATGAATGGTAGGCGCACCTTTGGTATTGTATTCCACAGGCCGATCATCCATTGCATTTTGATATACTTTTCATTTTGAAAAAGCATAACGATTACAAAATGTCAATGGTCCATTGGGGCCATCAGCATCCACTGAAATGTGGGACACCTATGGCGAGAGATTGCCACCCACCATAAGGCTCATATCCTGTTCCGCTGGATCCCCATCTTTACCTGTCTATCGATTGTTCTTTGGGTAGTCATAACTGGAATGGATATGAGGATTTACCATATTCATGGTTGTGTATGTATTTGCTACATGCTATATTCATGTTTGTGTATGTATTTACTACATGCTATGTGGTGTGGTGCTAAGGCTTCTTCTTTGGGGTTTTCTTGAGTAGGCACCCCTTGTTTTCGTGGCTATGGGAGGCGTGATGGGGAGCGTAGGAGGAAGTCAGTGCGTGGGTGCATTGTAAGCCAAGATTTATCGGTTTTGAATTTGGTGATTGTGAAGAAGGGTGAGAACGATCTTCCCGGGCTCACGGACACTGAGAAGCCAAGGATGAGGGGTCCAAAGAGGGCTTCGAAGATCCGCAAGCTTTTCAACCTCTCCAAGGAGGATGATGTTCGCAAATATATCAACACATATCGACGTACCTTTACAACAAAGGCTGGTGGGTCTTTTGAATTTGGCATTTCTTGATAATTCTCATAAGAACTTTTTGTATGAATTGTGAAAAATTTATTCAAAATATTACGAGTTCTTCTCTTCATTTACTTTTTAAAGTTTCCTCTATGACACTTTTCTGGAAGGCATTTAAATGCTTAGATGTAAATACAAGTTTTTAATATAGCGTTCTCTTTGCTTTCTATGCCTGCAAGAAAAATGATATGTATAAAAACATGCAAGTCATATGATTGTGAAGAATACTATCTTGTAGAAACTTAAAATTTAAACTGTACGTGTTTCGTTCCTTACTTCTCTTGGTCTGTTTATGGTGCAACAATTGCTGCATAACAGATCCATGCAGCTGCACCTTAAATTCTTTTTTTTTTTTTTAGTATTGAGGATCCAAAAAAGTTTGAAAACATCTGCAGATCATTATCTTTCACAGAAAAATGGATTTGGAGATCGAAAATCTTCAATTGATTTACCGTCCATTGAAGTGGACTGTTCATATCATATTTTATGATCACATTGGACATGGAGCCTTTTTAGAGCTCCTAATCCTTTTTTATTTATTTCCTTGAAAGGAGATAGAGCTTGAAGAGAGAGCGTGTGTGATTTTGGAGCTTAGTTGCCTATCCTTTCAGGAAAATGGGTATTGATTCCATTGTTTTGGTAGCAGCTACAGTTGCATCAATCAATTTTTCTTTGCTCCTGTTTTTTTGAGTAAATTTTCTTTTCTCTTCTATTTACACAACTGTTTATTTTTTATTTGAGATTTACCCAAGGAAAAAACATATGAAATGTCATCAGAATGTCCTGAGAAATTCTCAAGGAGATTTGTCAGTATGGATCATGACACATCATGATTTTTATGATCAACTTTTATGATGATGTTTTACTTATTGATCTTTTTAAATGACACTAATTGATGCAATGTTGAATGTCTTTATGGTTGCAGGCAAAAAGGTTAGTAAGGCTCCAAAGATTCAGAGGCTGGTCACCCCATTGACCATTCAGAGGAAGCGAGCAAGGATGGCGGAGAAGAAGAAGAGGATTGCCAAGGCCAAGGCTGAGGCAGCAGAGTATCAGAAGCTCCTTGCCTCGAGGCTCAAGGAGCAGAGGGAGAGGAGGAGTGAGAGCTTGGCAAAGAAGAGATCCAGGCTCTCTGCTGCATCAAAGCCTTCGGTTGCTGCTTAGGTCTCAATTTTGTCCTCTCCTTGTTTCCTTCCAGCAAGTTAAAAGTATGGGTGTTTTGTATTCCGTAGGAACTGCTCTTGAGATTGTGAGGTGATTTTGCGTTATCTCAAAATTTTGTGGAAGTAGGTGCATTATTTTGAGAGGATATGAGAGTCGTACTTGGTTATTGAGTTTATTTGAATATATTCAGGAGATGTAATGGCCGTACTTATGGAATATCGTAATTTTCTGTGCTTTTTATCTTTTGAAACTCTAGACTTGATTAAGCTGTAATCATGGGATAACAAAACTATGATTGGTGATTTTTGGGTATCTTTTGGAAGGCCTCTAAGCCCTTTAGGGCTGGCATTAGGCCGAGGGCCCAAAAAAAGTAGGCCTGAACTTTGGCCCGGGGGTTCGACACGGACCTGTACCAGCCCTGTTTGGCCCAGCTATCCCGACCCTAATAGGGGCAGCGTGGGCCCTATAGAGACAAGGGCTAGGTTAGGCCTAAGCCCTTTGAATGCCATCTCGCTCAACACAGAATTAAAGAGTAGCAATGGCAAGGAATTAAACCCCTTAATGTCCATGTCTTTGGTGAATGGATCATCTTTCAGGGAGCAACAAGTTTCAATACTATTGTTCGTGGCTTTAAAAGGAATGGAGAGGAATAGGGGGTTTTTCATAGGAAGAAGATTCTGGAGTGAGTGGGAGAGAGGCGAGAGACCAATATTGGAGGACGTGCAGTTTGTTTGAAAGCTCAATTACGGGGGTGTTTCTTATGGGTGCAGTGAATATTTCAGTCAAAATTGGAGAGTGGAAGATCAGGAAAACAGTAGTACGAGTAACACAGAGAACGCTAACAACCCTCTGAAGATTGTCTTCGTCTGTTAATTTTTTTTAGTAAAAATGAGGGAAGCAAAGATAAAATTGAAAACTAAAAGCCAGTTTTTCTAACTGAAAAATAGCTGGAGACCATTTTGATTTGGCTCTTTTGCGATAAGGAAGGCGTATAGGCTCATGTGATATAAGGAATCGTTTGTTGCCCCTCTATCCTCACTCTCTAATCTCCAAGTTCCTCTTTCTCTAACCCTGTCTCTATCCCTCTCCCCCTGTTTTTTGGTTTTTTGACAGATGTTAATAAATATTATTGAGAAAGAAGTTGCCCAAATGGGATTACTTCATCAGGGATGGAAAAAGAAGACAAAGAAGCACCTCTTTTAGCCAAGTTTTCTGCCATATTATACGCTTCCCTGTAGGCACGCTGATACGAAGTCGACAACCCAAATGCTTAGTCTATTATCTGTAACCAAATGGATTTCAACTCCCAAAGAACCCTTTAATCTTTGTTATACCATCTAATAGCATACAAGTATACCTTCAATGATAAACATTGCCTAGATTTTTATTGCAAAAACACAAAATCCTTAATCCATGGAGAATTGCAAGCATTTTACTTTTATTCAGAGTGGCTACGCCAATGAGTCTTGCAAATGTAAAAACAACTCGGCTAGACCAGCCTCGAACTACCCCTCCCACACCTGTCAAACCTGGATTACCCAAAGAGCTATTCAGCTTAAGACCACCTTGAGATGGGCATTGTCCAAACACTCGTGATCCGAGATCTAACTGAACCCAAGGTCAATATATTCTAAAGATTGATGATCACATCCACCTCGGATACCCGTGCCCTCCTTAGAAGCAAGCAGAAATATCCTTGCCCTCCCTAGAAGAAAGCAGCCAGCGCCACATATGCTTTATTTTTTCAAGCGACTCTCGCCTTCAAAAGTTCCACGGTTACGCTCCTTCCAGATCTCCCATATTATCACTCCTCTAATAATCTTCCAAAGTAACATCCCAGTTTTTGGTAGATCCATTAGAGACAGCTGCGTGATAATTCCCAACACACACTCCCTCCTATGCCCTTTCTCTACAAGCGACACACTAGTACGTAGTTGTGGAAAGAGAATTGTAAGACGATTAGAGAAACCATTATCTAGTGAAAATGTCAGTGGACAATCATCTCTTCAATTTTCGCTTTAAATTTACTTATGTTATTCCATTGTTGTCCTAAAAAAGTCATCATTTTTATCCAAAATTGCTTGGCTTTATGGAATTTTAATTGGATATAGGCCAAATCTTTACTATATACCGGGCCAAAAACAGAAGAAAAGATTCTCGCTGGAAGATCGTATGGTCTCGAGGGAGAAATCATCCATTATGGGCCGTTTGCGTCCACGGATATGCAAATCCTGGATATCTCAAAAAGATCTTTTGGGAAGAAGTTATCAACAATACAATAATTAAATTATATGGTTCTAATTATGTTTTTTGATTGTTTTATAGGTCAAATTATGATACTCTCTCCCTCTCTCTCTACCTACACGACCCATATTAAGTTATTCTTAAATTACATCATATCCATAACACTGCATCTCATTACATAACAAAGATTTTAAATATAAAATCCCTAAGAAGATCAAAATTACACTTTCGCATAGATTCTAATTTAGGTTTATGATTGGAAGTGACATGGTAGCAATGCTTAGAAACTCGCCTAAAATATTTAGAAGACCCCTTTTAGGAGTGTACAAGTAACATCGCTCTGCTTGAATGGGGCCTGCACATAATGGGTCAGAAGGGTAATTGATAAGTTCACCATGACAATTAGAAAAATAGAAAAAAAATAGTACAAGAAAAACAATCAACAGAATTAGAGAATATGGATCAAACAAGGAGTTTCATTTTTTCTTCCATTTATTCACTTTATCTTGTTTTCAAATAAAATAATGGCTACAAGTCTTGCAGATCTCCCTCTTAGCTTTTCAACATGTAGGAGAGAAACTAAACATAATACAAATATACCAAGCTAGGAAAAAGAACAACATGCGTTTAGAAAAATAACATCCTAAGCCTGGATAGAGATCATTCATCCTAAGATTGAAGATCACATGTGCAAAAATAGCTGAAAATCGTCAAAAGGTAATATAGACAAATAATTGCTGAACATTATTTGTGTAGCTGATCGCAAGTAGTTGGAATAATGTATGGCACGTACCAAACGGCTATAAAGAATAATATTTTTCATAGTGTATTAATTTAGATACGATAGTCTGTTCAATATAAAATCAATTATCATCCAAGCGAGCCCATAAGTCTTAATATCAGTGTTTTAAAACCCAGATAAGAGTGGCAGATCTTTCACCTACATATCCGTGTTAGATTGTTGGATAGGTGATTCAGATTGGGTTTGGATCGGTTTGAATTGGTGATTCCTAAGATGCTAAAAAGAATGAAATAAAATAAATGATGAAATCTAAGTTTATGGGGTGGAATTTAGTGGGGACTTAAAAAAATATTAGATAAACTTAAGAAAAAGGGAAAAAAATATATATAAGAGGAGGTTTTTACAGGAGACCGGGCCAAGATCCATACCATCCCAGAATTGATTCGGTCTTGAATAATTTCCATTTGTATCGGCAATATGGATGGGAAATAGCCGTGTTTTCAAACATTGCTTGATGCAATTATCCTAATAAAAAAACAAAATTGTAAAAGAAATGAAAGAATTATTCTGCAGTTGACATGACCTTATGGACATGTGGTCATGTAGTGTAAGTTGCTATGGTTGCCATGTTTAGCAAGTCGCACATGACCTTCATAAGGATCATAAATCGATAAAATTGCTGGCTCTTAGTTTTTCGAAACAAATATATATAATACAACCCATATAATCACCATAAAACTATAATTATCAAGATCAGACCAAATTGTGATTGGTGCCTTAATCAGTTTGGTCCAAGATAAAAACTATTAAAAAAAAACCAGTCAAAATCAATATTTGAATAGTTTTGCCATTCAGATAAGCCGGTTTTAACTAATTCAACCATCAAAATGATTTTTGGTAAGTTTTTTAAATTATGATATTTGTTTTTGTTTTTTTTTTATTTTCGTTAAAATCCAGTTCAATTGATTCGACCACTGCTTAGACTAATTTTAACTGGACCAAACCCCTTGTCGGTACAGCGACTGCTCTATCGATCATAACAGACGTGAGTATGAAGTTATTACCGTCCCACAATGTCTTTGGGGGTGGAGGGGAGTGGGTCTCTTTCCAAACACTTCATTGATTTTGTTTCAGGAAGAAATCGATATAGTGGTCTCTGAATGTGTTTTTTGGACTTTGCGTGCACGTGAGGCCTCTCATTTTGAATTGTCACCGCGCTAGAAAAGAAAGAAAAAGAGGTTTCTTAGTGTGTGCAACGTACCTGCAGGAGCATATTATGTATTTATGCTCTTAAGCTAAAGAAAATTTAGGACCTACTTTAGAATTACGAGATTTGTATTTTCATAAAACACATTTTTGAATTAAAGTTCTTAAACACATAATTCTGACCGTCCTAACTTCAGAAAATCTTTATTCAATCGTAGGGCATTATTATTTTGACATTCCTAAAATGTCATCATTACTATCATCCAAGTCTCTTCCCTACCATTTGGGATCGACTGCACAAATTCTATTTTACCGTTCCGTTTTATCAAGGGCCGTATCTTAAATCAAGCTATAGGTTATCGTATATCTTCTCACTACTTCTATTCATGTTCTTGTATTTTTTTCGTCTTTTTAAAACCTTCCACTCACATCAAATTATCCTTCTTAACTGGTGTTGTTCCATGTGAAACGTGAACTTAAAACAAACTGTACCCTCCCTTTGGCAATAAATTATGATATTTATGTGCGTGCCGGTGAGGGTGGGGAACCGGCCCACCATAGGACGGTAAAAGTGCAACCAACCCAAGCTTTATTTGATATTTTTTCACCCAACTCTAAGTTTGACTGATGATGATGAAAATTGGCACGCCCAACAATTTAATCTTAGTTCAAATCAATAAATTGACATCTCACTTTTAGACATTGCACTTATTGCTTGTTAAGTCATTTTCCTAAAGGATGGATCCCATTAAAACAAGGGAGACTATTATCTATGCATTTTGTTTCACATTAGAGGGAGATACTTTTGAGGGCTTTTGATTCTAAAGTAGGGTTGCCAATGGACCCTGTCCCGGATCTGACCTGGGATCCGAGAGGTAGACTCGATCCGGGTTTGGGTATGGGTCCAAAAATTGGACCCTGTACGTCGGATCCGGGTCCGGGTCCAAATCTTAGACCGAACACTATTTGAGTCTGGGTCCAATCGTCTGATCGGATCTAGGTCCGGTAATATTTTTCGGATCCCAATATATGAAATATATTTTAATTTTTG